CATTCTTTAAGGAATACATATAAATGTAGACAACATAAAATCAGTACGAATTAAAACAATTTGAACAAGAGTTTATATATAGAAAAATATACAACTATAAAATTCATAATTTCAAGTGCACATCAAATATTAAGAAAAATTGACCATATGCTAAAAAATGCAACAAATCTCAACAAATTTCCAAGTCTGAAATTAAACAAACCATTTTTGTAATTATATTAAATACCAGTGACAAAATGTTAACTAGAATGTTTCTCTATGACTTCACCAGTGAGTTGTAACCAAGATCCAAGGAAGAAATGATTCTAATAATTTTCCCCTTTCAGAAGAAGGAAACAATCTCCAGCTCAATTTATAATCTAATCAGTATGTTAGTCATCTTTCTGTTGCTGTAACAAAATACCTAAGAAAATCAACTTAAAGAAGAAAAGGTTTATTTTAATTCATGGTTTTGGAGATTCCACTTCATGGTCATTTGGTAGTGTCGATTTGGGCCTTTGGTGGATCAGAACCACATGGCAGGGGTGCATTTCAAAGATCTTTTCACTACATGGTGGCTAGGAAGCAAAGACAGAGAGGAATGAGCTGGGGTTCCAGCATCCCCTTTAAGGACATGCACCCAATGACAGATCTTCCTTCTGCTAGGTCCCACCTGTACAATGTCCCAAAAGTGCCACAGGCTGGCAATGAAGCCTTTAGAATATTTGTATTTGTGCATTTAAGATCTAAACTATAATAATCTGAAACCCAACAAGGATAATAAAGCTTCAAACCAATTCTACTTATGAACATAGATTTAAGAAATACATACTAAATATTAACAACAAAATTTAGATATATATTAAAATTATAGTGATCATGATTTAGATTCCCACTACAACCTTCACACCCAAATGCAATATTGGCTTAATATTAGAAATCAATTACTATATTAATATAATATTAGAAATCAATTAATTAACAGATTAAAAGATGAAACCTACAAAAATCCTCCAGAAATGTAAAAAAGCCACTATCAACTTATGACCAAAACAARTAAACAAAAAAAACTGTTTTGGCAATCTAGAAATAGAAAATYACGTAACATGATCAAAAGTTCCTATAGGTACTGGGGCTGTAGCACTCAGAGCACTTGCCCAGCCCCTGTGAGGCACTAGGTTTGATCCTTAGTGCCACATACAAATAAACAAAATAAAGGCATGCTGTTCATCTACAACTACAAAAAAAAATTAAGTTATCTACAAATATCTTAAAATATGGTCAAAACTTTCTCTTTGAAATCAGCAATAAGATAATGATGGCTGTTACTACTTTTATTCAGCATTAAGAGAGAGAAATAAATGGCCTAAGAAAGAAAGTGTATCATATTTATCACTTCATTATAAGTCATATTAAGTGGTTTAAAACAACAAACCCTTTATACCTCACCTTTTCTGTACTTCAGGAATCTAGGGACAGCTTAGCTGAGTCCTCTGGCTGGGAGTGTTTCAAAACACTGCAGTCAAGCTGTCAGCTAGGGTTAGAGTCACCTCAAGGTTCAAGTAAGGGAGGACCCACTGCCAGAATCACTCACAGAACTGTTGACAGACCCACGTCTTCACTGATTAGAGGCATTAATTCTTTGCCAGATGGCCTTGGTACATGGCCCATAACATGACAGCTGGCTTTTCTCACAAGATGGAAGCCAGGGTCTTATGGAACCTAGTCTCAGAATTGATATCCCACCACTTTCTATCAGTTGAAAGTATCACTTGGGCCAATCTACACTTAAGGAAAGGGGATTATCCAGGGCACTAAATATCAGGAAGCAGGGATCACTGGGAACATTCAGATTCTGTCTACCACAAAAAGGAAGAACAAAAACTATCAGTGCTGATGTGTAACAAATGTAGAAAATCAAACAAAAAAGCCACACTACATGCTTATAATTAATAAGAAAGTCTGGCAAAGTTACTTGACACACACAAAAAATATCAGTAAACAAATACTAAGAGCAAAAAACTTAAGAGCAAAAAACCCAAATAACCCAATCAATAAACAGGCAAAAATTCTGAACAGCCACTTCACAGAAGAAATACAGTCAACAAATATATGAGAAAAATGTTGAATATTTCTAGTAATTGGAGAAATGCAAAGTAAAACTACACTGAGATTCCATCTCCAATAACAATTATCCAGCATACAAGCAACAATAAATGTTGACAAGAGATGTGGAAGAAAAACTTACCCTCATACGTTGCTTATGGGACTGCAAATTGGTGCAACCACTCTGCAAAGCACTATGGAGATTCCTCAGAAAACTTGGAATGGAACCACCATTTAACCTGTTATCCCACTCTCAGCTTATACCCAAAGGAGTTCATATTAGCATATTACACTGACGCAGCCACATCAATGTTTATAGCAGCTCAATTCACAATAGCCAAGCTATGGAACCAACCTAGGTGCCCTTCAATAGATGAACGGATAAAGAAAATGTGGTATATATACACAATGGTATATTACTCGTCATAAAGAAGAACAAAATATGGTATTTGCCAGTACATGGATGGAACTGGAGACTATCATGATAAGTGAAAAGGCCAAATGTTCTGATATGCAGATGCTAACACAATAAGTGGGAGTTGAGGGGGAACTTGGTATTAGATTAGACAAAGGGAAAGAAGGGAAAGGGGGACAGGAATAGGAAAGACAGTAGAATAAACCAGACACAACTTTTCTATCCTTGTATATGAATACGTGACCACTGTAACTCCACATCATGTTCAACCACAAGAATAGGATCATAATTAGAATAAGTTATACTCTATGTGCGTATAATATGTCAAAATATACTGTCACGTATATCTAAACAGAAGAAATAAAAAATTAAAAAATGCCAGTTTTATGCCACATACAAGCAATGAACAGAAAAAGAAAACTGTAAAACAACATCAATAATAGGATTAAACATCAGTTATCAGTTGAACAGTAACAACTGAAGCTAGGGAATAGGTACTATTTTCTTTATTCTTTATATAATTGAAAATTTTGAGTTCTTAGGAGCAAATCTCACAAAAACTTTACAAACCTTTACAGAAAAATTTAATATTTTCTCATTAAATAAATAGAGGGATAGGCCATACCATGAACCGGAAGGCTTAACGTTGTAAAGACAGCAATGCTCTCCAAATTGATTTATAGATTCAATGAATTCCAATCAAAATCTCAACAAGGTGTGTGTGTTGTAACTGAAATGCTGTTAAAATTTGTATAAAAGTGAAAAAGTCCAAAAGTATATGGACACTGCTATACACCTCACACTGACAATTCAAAGTCTGACAATGGTATGTTTTGGTGAGGATGTTCTGCAAAAGAAGCTCTTTGATAATGGAAGTGTGCATTAGTACAACTGCTTTGGGAAATTACTGTTACCTATTATAAGTTTCATACTTAGGTGGTGGAGATGTTTTTGGTCTTTCCACAAGTATGTCAAACTTTTTAAAAAAGGAATCATAAAAAAGAAAAGAAAGATAATAATCACATATACTTCCAAAGATGAGCAATAGAGAGAATATTTTGGAAAATAAACTCTGCCATAAAGGGCAAATAGAGCAGAAAGTAGAATCATTCTTTGCAATGTCTGAAAGTGAATCCTGAAACACTAAAAATAACCAATTGCATTACATATTTGGAATGGAAGGTGGCACTCAAACTAATAGGAATACTTTTATCCRTTTTTTTTTTAAATGAGGAAAAATCTCTTTCAACGGCTGAAGGTGGTCTGCTACAAGAGAACAGCAATAGATCTCAAGTGCGACGAAAAATCAGCCCAGACTGTACCACAAGCCAATTACTAGGTGTTGTCCTTAGCTTTCTGGGTAATGGCTCTCAGAGGAAGCCTTCCACATGTCCGTGGTCCAAGTGCTCCACTATTTTGCAAAAGGGCAAAGCGAAGCAAAGCAAAAAACAAACAAATGGGGCTGAGGGTGTGTGTGTGGGGGGGTGCCTTTTAAAGGCTAATACAGAAGCCCAAATCTCACTTATTTTCCTACAGAAATAAATGACTGATGTAAGAATATTAGCAAAGGCATTTAAGGATGCTCTCTAACCAATCTAAACATGTGAAAAAAAAAAGGAAAACACTATGTATGGTATTTAAAAAAACAGCATTTATTTACATTCCAAAGGACAAAGAAACTGAGAAAAAATATATTTATAAAGGAAATAGTCTAATTTTGCTTAATCCATTTATGTTTTTCACAAAAACATTTATGAAAAAAAATGTATAACAAAGACTTAATTTAGAATTATAGGTCTAAGGATGCCCAAAGAATTTGTCCAATTCAATCTTATGACTCTAGATAATTTTGAAATCATATCATTGCTGGCAAATGAAAACCTCCTCCACTTTTATGTAAAGCCCCCTAATTACATGTTATAAAAGACCCATTTTTTGTAAAATCTGTCAGAGCATCCAACAAACCTGCAATAAAAGACACAGCTATCAAAATATAGGACATTAAGAATTTTTCTTTGCAACAATGAAAAGTGGGATTTACACAGGAGAAATCACATGGGTCAACAGCATCACAGTAACAGTATCCAGGGTCTCTTGTTCAAGTATATACACCTTTCTTAAGACCTGGTTGTCACAAAGATATCAGTAACTAGCGTGTACACACACAAGTATTTTACAAACATCATGATAACAATAAAAAGATAAAAATATTTTTWAAAAAATATTTACTTTTTAGGTGTAGATGGATACAACACAATTCCTTTATTTTTATATGGTGCTGAGGATCGAACCTGGGTCCCGCCCATGAGGGGCGAGCACTCCACCGCTGAGCCACAATCCCAGCCCAAAAGATAAAAATATTTTACCTTAGATTTTGTAACAACTTCAAACCTGTATATTCGATTCGTAATCTTTTATTGATTTGTACAACTTTAAAAATAGCATGAATTTTATAAAAATACTGACAATGGCTCAACATTTTAAAAGTCAGACAATCTGTATGTACACTTCAGTAGTCTGTATGTCGTGCTTTTCTTTCTTCTGCTCGCATTCAAAACAGCCACCGCCACAGAGTCTCTAAGCAGTGTCCCTGCAGAAGCATCACATTCGAAAACTTCTCGTTCTTTGAAATGGCTGGAAAGGCTTTCTCAGTGCCCACATGAGCAGCTGTGGTTTCGGTTTGTGTTTTTCAGGAAAGAGAAGCGCTTCACTTTCTGGCGTAGGAAATCGTTCTTGATAGACTTCAGGATAGGATTTCTGAAACTAAACAAGAGTCAAAAATTTATAGAAGAGCCAAGAAAATTGGGCAAGTTTTAATGAAGAGTTTCTGACCCCATACTTCCCTGTTTTTATTTTTGTTAAATCATTCCATTTTGATGTCTATAGATCAAATTCATCTTTCCTTTGATCCAATCTTTGAACGAAGTTCTCCTTTTAATCATATTTCTTAAAATTTTTCCCACTGCCAACAATAAATAGACCTCACTTAAAAAATATTCACAAGTAACTCTGACTTGAAAATAACTTACGTCCTAAGCAGTTAAGGAAAATTTGGGCTCAACTGTATTTTCCTTTCTTCCTGCTTCTCCAACTCAGTCCCACCGAAAGAGAAATTAGGAAAACTATTCTACTCACAATAGCCTCAAAAATATATATATTTGGAATCAATCTAACTTTTGTCCAAATGAAAAAGCA